TCCTTCCTGAATCTTCGTTTGCGAAGAAAAGCCAGAGAGAGATTTCTCAGGGTATCTGACATGGAATACTGGCAATTTATTTTTCTAATGTAACAGTACCTGGTACTATCTTTGTCCCCATCGGCTATAGCTGTTTCTTTCTTTCCTAGAAACTGTACAGCTGATGATCTATGAATCTGCATTGCTCCAGGATTAACCATTTTGAGTAGCTTATTGTTGTTAACTGCTTTTAAGTTTCCCCCATTTCCTGGTGACCCTGTGGATGACACATCTCCAATTTAATTAATTAATTAATTTTATTTTTATCCTGCCTTTCTCCCAAAGTGGGACCCAAGGCGGCTGTCCCCTATCCTCCAAGTCCCCCTATCTGCCACTGTCCTGCTCAGGCTTTGCAGATTTTGGCCTGTGCCCCCCCCCCACTTGAGTCTATCCATCTAATGTGTGGTCTTCCTCTCCTACCATTTTCTACCTTCCCTAGACTTATCATCTTTTCATGTCTTCTCATGATGTGGCCAAAATATGACAGCCTCAATATAATCATCTGGACTTCTAGGAAGAGTTCAAGTTTGATCTGTTCAAGGACCTGTTTGCTTGTTTGTTTTTCGACATCCATGGTATCCACAGCACTCTTCTCAAATGAACTGATTTTCCTCCTATCTGCTTTCTTCATTGTCCAACTCTCGCAACCATACATGGTAATAGGGAAAACAATGGCTTGCACAATTCTAACTTTAGTGCTCAGTTGTATTACTTTACTCTTTAGTATCTTTTCTAGTTCTTTCATAGCTGCACTCTCCCCCCCCCCCAATTCCTAGTCTTCTTCTGCTTTCTTGACTGTAGTCTTCTTCCTAATCAATGTTTCACCCAAGGTACAGGAACTCTTTTACTATTACAATTTCCTCATTGTCTATATTTAATGTATGTAGGCCCTCCGTGGTCATTATTTTTGTTATCTCTATGTTCAGTGTTAAGCCTGCCTTTCATTTCTCATCTTTGACCTTCCTTAATAATTGTTCCAAATCCATGTTTTCTTCTAGTAGTATGGTGTCATCTGTGTATCTTAGAGTGGTGATATTACTGCTTGTTATACATGACATGTGAGACAACTCAAGGAATTACAAGTGGAACTCTTTGATTAGCTATAAAGTATAGTGAATTATAAGGGACATGGTGGCTCAGTGGTTAAGACACTGACTCTGATGATTGCAAGATCAACAGGTCATCAGTTTGAAGCCCAAGTGTCGCATGATGAAGTGAGCTCCTGTCACTAGTCCCAGCTTCTGCCAACCTAGCAATTCAAATGCATGTAAAAGTGCAAGTGGATAAATAGGTACCACTTTGGTAGGAAGGTAACAGCATTCTGTGCAGTCATGTTGGCCACATGATCATAGAGTCATCTTTGACAATGCTGGCTCCTGAATTTAGTAACTTAGATGAGCATCATCCCCTACAGTCAGACACGACTAGACAATCTTGTCAAGGGAAAAAACTTTACCTTTAGAGTGAATTATACTCAAGATGTTATTCAGAACCCAAAAGATATCAGATAACTAATATTTTGTTTTCTTTTATTGCGTTTTTAAAAAGTTGTTGTAAATTTATAATGCTTTTATTCACTATGTATTGATTCCATTTATTCCATTTAATTATAGCACACTTCAAACCCCATTCATGAAAGACAGGTAGGATATGAATTGAATGAATGAGTGGGGGAATAAATCAGTGATGACTGATTTTTCCTGTTTTGATGCCAAAAAAAGTAACTAGAATATAATGTCCTGTAAATGCATCTCAGGAAAAGAGAAAGAATCTGTTTTGACTTATTTATTGCTAATTCTTCAATACTAATAGTGACTAAGGCCGCTTATAACATGCCTGTAAATATCCACTTTTCTGTTTATAAAGATTACTCATTTCCAGGCATCAGTTAAGGAAACATCTGTAAATGGAAGACAACTTATTCTTCTTTATTTTAGGCCATCAAAATACCACAAGCAACTAAGGGTAGGTAGAATTCAAAGACATAACTGTGTTAGTCTAGATCCATACCAGTATCAGTATGCGGCATCTGATGAAGTAGGCTTAAATCTATACACTACCAACGGCTTTCTCTCAGGTAGTCTCAAAGGTGCTGCAAGTTCCCTTTGCATAAATGTAGGTAGTTGGACTATTAAAGGTTTTGCATGGTATATAATTTTCTGGAATTTGAACATATTTACAAAGCTGATTGATAATGCTATTATTTTTTTCTTCCTAGCTTTCGCTAAAGAGCTCAAAGCAGACATTACAAACCTCATAACTACAATTATGTAGTTTATGCTGACCAGCCCTGTTATTAGAATGAGACAACTACCTTGGATATTAATAAAGGTGGATCCCGGCTTTTCCTCTTGAAATCTCCATCTATTCCTCTTTGTTGGAGGAGGAGGGTGTCTGTAGCATATGTCAGGAATCTCCTAAACTAGCTTGGTCTCCCAGTTGTGGTGAACTCCACTATCACATCAGCCATGGTGAAGAAAGAGTCAATTGCCAGTCCCATCAGCTTCCCTACATGGGAGAAAAAGAGAAAGACCCATGGCCTCAGACCGCTAAATGTCTTAGGCCATTCCTCATTGATAGCATGACATGCATACATGTACTGTATCAATTTTAACATAATTGTTGAAGGAAGATATGAACCTTTACATCTCTGTGGCGCAAGGTACAACAGTCCCATCCTGCAGGAAAAACGCTGGAAGAATGAATTTGAGGAGTAATGACAGAGGAAGGGGATTATTACTAAGAAGGACAAAATCCATGCTATGTAGGACCTTAGACAGCCAGTGGTGTAGTGGTTTGAGTGTTGGACTATGATCTCGAAT